GTTGTTTCGCATATGAACAACCGTTTTTCTCTGCCTTGATGGGCAGGATGTTTTAACCGATAACTATATTGTGAACTAATAAATCCGGTTGAACAACAGTGAAAAATATTGTTGTTTCGCATATGAATGACCAATTTTCTATACGGTGGTATGGCGGTCGTACGAAAAAAATCTATCACGCATGAGCGGAAACAGAAGATGACCCGAATGTTTATGTCCAAGGAATCTTCGTAAACACGAACGAAAAATCCAAATGTTAAAAGTAGATTGGCCTAATGAGATAATGAAACCAGAATTCTGCAGATTATATTTTATGTATCACTATTAATGTATATAGTTAATGTATTAAACTATATTATAATCATTGCTGTTAATTGTTGTGTATATCGCTCCTTCTGGCCGGAAGGGCGTGGCTACAAGGTCACACGCACACCGCATCACTTCCACTTGTACGGAAGATGTCAACATTACGTATTGCACAACAAACAATTTTTTTAGATTGGGCCACGATTTCGACCAACGAACGCCTCTCGGTCGTTGGATGACCGATCGGTCTATTTTCTAATCGTGTATTCCCACCTTTAGGCTGGCCATACATGGGTCAATTTTCGAACGATTTTTCATTCGAAAATCGGACCTAAGATTAATCGTCAGATTTTCGCTCTGTTAGTGGGGCAATGGCACCAGCCGACTTTTGTGGTTCCTCCCCATTTCGTTTATCAGGCATGCTGGAAAATTCATGAAAAACATCCGATTTTTTAAATCATTGGTGGCACCATCGGATTACAGAACGAATAATGTTTTCGATTTTAGATCGAAAAATCGTTCGGAATTCGACCCATGTATGGCCTGCTTTACGTCTCAAATTTCTGGTCATTCAGTGTCATGATATAACTTACTCCATGAATGTAAAAAAAAACATTCTAGGCAGCTCCAAGTAAAGGGAATTAAAAAGGAAAAGACAAGCTATATATACAAGAAAATGCACAGATCACAGACAATCCCTAGAGTACAGTTAAATTAATCATTATGACATGGAAAGAATATGACAGAGCTGGAAATCTTAGAAGAACAGACCATTTATTAAAATTGATTGACCATGCAAGAAGACCAAAAGCAACTACTCTGAAGGAGATTTAGGTTTCAATGGATAAGACTGAAGAGACCATTCATATACAAATATTGCCCACTCACTTTATAAATTGAAGCTTTAGGGTCCTTTTACATGGGAGTTTCGTTTGTTTCATCAGTTCAGTCACGTTGTTTTCAAAGAAAAAAAGATTCAGTTTTATACCAGTTTTACATCAGTTTTTCATCAGTTTTGCCATCAGTTTCTTATATCCATTACCAATGCAAAAACAGATGCAAAAATTGACCTTTTCTCCATTTACATCCCTTTTCCATAAAAAAAACAGATGTTGACAGATGCGGATGAAAACTGATGTAAATGGATAATAATTAGTTTACATCCATTTTTCCATAGAGATGGATTGATGTCCATTTTTAATCCGTCAACAGATGGATGAAAAGCGGACCAGTGGAACGCCTGTGTGAAAGGGGTCTTATAAGAAAGTGCTGAAAAAGGCCACAGTTGATTTAACCACTTGCCGACCGCAGATAGCTGAAAGATGGCTTCACAGTGGCCGGCCAGTTCTGGGAGGGCGTCATATGACGTCCTCCCAGAACGCACCCTCCCGCGTATCCCCGGGGGGGGGGAGTACCCGGCGATCCCTGTGGCCGCTGTGTCCTATGGACACAGCTGATCACGTGATGTGGTAAAAGGTCAATCACAGCAATTTTTTACCATGTTATCAGCCATGTCCAATGACAACGCAGATCACCGGTAAATGCAGTTGTAAATGATCACCGGTAAATGCGGTTATCGGCTGCACTTTTCTCACGCTGTCACAGTGTGAGGAAAGTACTGCCTATGACTGGCAATTGTCAAAGGACTGATCAGCACCGATCATCAGGGCACTGATAATCAGTGCCCATCAGTGCCGCCCACCTGTGCCCATCAGTGCCATCCACCTGTGCCCATCAGTGCCTAGTAGTGCCACCCAACTGTGCCCAGCAGTACCACCCACCAGTGTATCTTAGCACAGAGGTCTCAGAAAATCAGTGATCCATTCACACAGGCAGGAAGTGACATTTCTGGGAGCATTCTGCACACCAGTAGTGTACAGAACACCAACAGTTTGCCATGTTGCATTAAATAATGTTTAATTTTCTGCATCTGCAGAATAAAAAGGAGAGAGGTATTTTTGTCATACCTTTAAATTACAAAGTGACGCTTGTATCAACTGTATGTGCTATGATCATTGTCTTTTTATTGAGAACGGAGTTTTCCTTTAAAGATATGTTTTTTTTTTCCTTTTGAGTTTTGAGTAGAGTTTTATTTTTGCCATCTGTGTCCTATTCTGTTTTGTAGACACAGTATAAAATGGGAGGATATACAGTATCTTCAATGTGAATTAAATCTTCGATTAGACAGTAGACATTGGATTTGTTTAGCTACGAATCAATATTTGGATGCATCCGAATTTCATAATCAAAATAATAACAAATTTGAACAAACCTAAAATAAATTATAATGAAACAAATTATCCAAATTTGAAAATGAATTCACATTTGAAATGGAAATATTGCAATAAATACAGTAAGGTATAAAAGTGAAATAAGATGATGAATCCTATGTAAGCTGCTTTATAGAACAGAATAAAAAACAATATAATAAAACAGAATAGAATAGAACAGCATTGAACATAAAGGGATAGAATAAAAAGGAGTAGAAAATAAAAGAATAGAAAATAAAAGAATAGAATAGAGTAGAATAGCATGCCCTATGCTTTCCCGATTTTGGTCAAAGGTTCTCAAACTACTCCAATCATTACTTACTTGCCCCTTTCCGAGAGACCCTTGGTATACTCTCTTACACTTAAACCCTCCGAGTATGTCTAAACAACAATTTAAACTAGCCACTCACATAGTATTGGCAGCCAAACAAACCATAGCTAAAGCCTAGAAACAGCAGTTCACTGCCGCCTTGACTTCTTCTTAATAAACAAAAAACTGTCTAGCATCCTCTCAGACACCCATGAGGAATTCCTCAAAACTTGGGCTCCACAGATCCAACACACCCACCCCGAGATTTCAGCGAACATTTTCGCCTCACTATAACCTCATTAAACATTACAAACTGAACTCAAGCATTTTGGATGTCCACCCCTGCCAATCTGTCTCCATTTTCTCTTTCTTCTCTCGTCTTTTGAATCCCGTTTTTTGGCTGTTCCACAGGGATGCCCCACAAACCACGAGGTGTCCTACACATCTCTTATTTCGATAGCATTTTCGCATATCTTAAAGCGGAGTGCCACCCAAAAGAGGAAGTTCCGCTTTAAAGATTGGTCCCCCGCTCCCCATTAAGGATTGGCACATTTGGGGGAGCGGGTACCCAAATTTGACAGGTACCCGCTACCACTTCTGCTGCGTTCGCCTTGGCAATCAGAAACAGAAGTTGTCCTCCTACCCTCCCTCCCCGAAGTCTTGTGGGACACGTGACAGGTCCCAGAAGACAACGGGGCTATTCAGGAGGCGCAGCGCTACACGCGCATGCACAGTGGGAACCCAGCTGTGAAGCCGCAAGCTGTCACAGCTGGGTGCCCACACTGAAGATGCCGGTGCTTGGAATACAGGACGGCTGGTGAAACGGGCTGCGGCGGGGGCAACGTGGGATTGTGGGACAGGTGAGTGGCTGTTTTTTTAAAATTCAGCAGCTACAGTTTTTCTAACTGCTTTTATTATTTTTACAGAGTGAACGGAACTCCACTTTAAATGATATAACCCTTTTACCACTGTCAGTTGTTGAGCTACAAATAGACAACCCTATCTGTGCACTAACTAATCGACACAAAATGCATGTTTTATTTCCACTCCTTTGTCAAGTTATTTAGAATGTTACCTATGCTAGTTATGTTCCATTTGTAAAGGATTGCTGTTGACTGCTGTTCATAGTTGTGATTCTGTTTTTGTACTAGAAAGCGGTCGAGTTTGTACTTTGTACTTAAGAATACTAAAAAAAAAAAAACAATAAAAAACTATTGAAAGGAATAGAGTAGAATAGAAAAAAAAAAAATAATAGATTAGAATAGAATAAAATATAACGAATAGTCATCTTCTGAATTTCAAATTTTGAAATTCGAATTTTGAATCGATTTGAAAATAAGGAATTTATGAAATGAATCCGAATTTAAATGAATTCCAAAACGAATCATTCTAACTTAACAAATATGACAAAACTAAATTATTAGCTTAATGAGCAAATCCGAAAAGAAACACATTTTTTCCGTCATGCACATCGCTATTAGACAGTTGTTACCAGAAGTTCCCATGTCAAGATTTCCACTCGGTCTACCTGTCTCAGTGACAGTGGTCATCAGAACACATAAAGGTTAAATCCACCTTAGCAGAGACACAAACAACAAAAACTTGATGGGTTCTAATTCCTTCTACTCTATACTAAAACAAAAACGTTTTGGCTTTAGATACACTTTCTATTAGTCAAATAACAGCTGATTAGACCCCTAACATGCAGAAAGATCTTTCTTGCAGAAATGAGATGATGATGATGTATGTTTACAAAACACACAATTTTATTACAATTTTTTTTGAAGAATATTTTCTCATAAGAGCAGTTGAACAGTGAATTATTTGTGCCTATATAAAAGCAACTGCATCAACAGGACAATGTTGATTATATTGTTGTTTAGTCAGCCTTGGCCTATGCCCAGTCTTTTATCCTACTCCCATTTGTACACAATGTTTGTCAAGTAGGTACATTCTGATCTATAAATTTAGGATGTTTTAGAAATAGAGACCAATATTGCCTTTGATGTATATTCCTTTTACTTTCTATAGATTTCATTGTCCTGGTAGCTTCACTGGCAGTTATTGCAGCTGGGACTCAGGGTAACATCTTTGCAACCTCAGCTCTACGCAGTATGCGATTCCTGCAGATCCTACGCATGGTGCGCATGGACCGGAGAGGAGGCACTTGGAAATTGCTGGGTTCAGTAGTATATGCTCACAGCAAGGTAAACTATTTGATCTTTTTGTTCAGATTTGATACATAAGCAGGACAGTTTCATTAAAGCAAGCCATAGATTCTAAAGTTTTCTTTTCTTCCACCATGGGTGGAAGAAAAGAAAATAGCTTGATTCCCCCACCACGGGTGGAAGAAAAAAAAATAGCTTGATTCCCCCACCACGGGTGGAAGAAAAGAAAATAGCTTGATTCCCCCACCACGGGTGGAAGAAAAGAAAATAGCTTGATACCCCCATCAACACAGTCATTGTGGGGAATTGATGGGGGAATCCCTCCCACAGAACTATTGTGGTGTTCCACCAGGGAGCCTTCCCTGCTGGCAGAACACAATGATCACTGCTAGGGTCTACAGCCACCCGCAGTGATCACAGGAGAAAATCCAATAGGCTGGTTGTACTGAAGTCGTTCGATGGATTGATTTGAGTACAACCAGCCTGCTCGTAGATGGATCGAATTTTAGCCTATCCCTGCTGAACCCGGCCGAGATTCGATCCATCTATGGCCGACTTAAGCCAGGTGACCATATTGTAACATACTGTAGAAATACCATATTGTAACACAGAAATGGCCAACCTGTGGCTCTCCAACATTTGTGGATCTAGATGTTTGTGCAACCTATTTAGAATCAGGTTGGCCTTTTTGCCTGTTTAGAGAGATTTTACAATTAGCACAGATTTTTCCAATAGTGATTTGCACACCCATTAGGGCTCATTCACACCATAGGCGCTGTGCTTAAATAGGGTAAATAGCATATATTGTAGATATGCACCCTATACTCCCCATATGATAGCTAAATGAAGAGTTTTGTGGATGAATACCAATAAATAAATATCAAACAATACATATACCAAACATAAATGAATTTAACATATAAAGTGACTGAAAATTCCCAATTGTATAAAATTGGGAATATTTAGTCACTTTACATTTTTAATTCATTTATGTTTGGTATGTGTATTGTTTAACATATAAAGTGACTGAATATTCCTAATTTTATAACATTTAGAATATTCAGTCACTTTATATGTTTAATTCATTTATATTTGGTATATGTATTGTTTGATATTTTATTATTTATTGGTATTCATCCACAAAACTCATCATTTAGCTATTATATGGGGAGTATAGGGTGCATACCTACATTTTATGCTACTTACCCTATTTGAGCGCAGCGCCTATCTGTTCATCACTAATTCACTTGCAAGTGTCGCATTCACTTTTTAGGGGGAGCTGGAAACACCCTTTAGGGGTTAATATATTAACATATATCATTTGGCACCACAATAATCAATTTCTGTCTGGTCATTCACACCGTACATGCATGAAAACTGATGGAAACTTGACACGCAGATTTCACTTGCAGAGACATCAGTTCCCATCAGTTTTCATGCGTGTTTCAATGGGTTTTATACATGTTGCAGATTCCTACGCAGAAAAAAAGCTTGCATGGGATACTAGTGTTGTGGAATGAACAGGGCACATAGAGAACAATTGATTTTGTTGTGCACAAGCAGAGAAAATGACTGTACCCTGGTGTGAATAAGCCATTAATCTATGAACACATATGAGCAGAGGAAGCTGCATTCACTTAAAGGAGAAGTACAGCCAATGCTCTTTTGGCTGTACTTCTCCTGTGGTTTATACTGATAGTCACCGCTCTCTGCTCAGAGTGGCTGTAAGAACGCAGCAATTAGTGGTCATGCGAACGCTGAGTTCTCATACTTCGAGCAGGCGGGGGACAGATGCGGCATCGGACCGATGCGGCACCCACCCTATGATTTTGTTTAAAAAAGCATTTCCATGCTTCTCTTTTTAACAGCTATATGTTAGTGTGCAAACTATGGGAGTTGTAAAGCTAAGACTATACTAATAGTAAATGTACTTGTGATTTTTATCCCCTTCAGCCACCAACGCCTAAAGTTCCAAAACGTACATGAGCTACTATTGAAGCAGAATGGGGTTTTCTTGGCCCCATTGGCTCCCTTATAGGAGTGTGCAAAAAATACACATTACTGTCTTTATTTTAGGCACCCCTATTTTAAAAACCTGTGGAACCAAAAACATGTGATCCTGCCCCACAGAAGCTTCTTTAGCCCTGGTTCACACTGAATGCGGCTTTGACATCCCGTTACTTCACATGCACAGATGTCTATGCAAGTCGCACATGAAATCGCCAAAAATAGTGCAGGAATCTTTTTTCAAAAATGATGCCGCACCGCAAAGTTGGGTCGCACCGATTTGAATCGTTCCCTTGCTGGAAAAGGCGTGTGACTTGTCATGCGATTTGGAAATGTCAAAATGCATGACAAAGCATACTGGTGTGAACCAGGGCTTATCTCCCTACACTCCTAAAAGTGTGAATATTGATTTAGGGATAATTCAGATTAACTTTTATCTTCTTCATAAATATAAACCATGTCATTGCGTTTCCTATCCCCAGGAGCTGATCACTGCGTGGTATATTGGTTTTCTGGTGCTAATCTTTGCCTCCTTCCTGGTCTACTTGGCAGAAAAAGATGCAAACAAAGAGTTTTCAACCTATGCTGACTCTCTTTGGTGGGGAACGGTACGTTTTCCTCTGATGTGTGATACAAAGAGCATGTTGTGAAGTGTTTAGTGATGTCTGAAAAGTATGTGGATTAACATGCCTGCTCTAATCCCTAGCAGTCTGATTATGTCAGTATTTCTGTGCTCAAAGTGGTACATTTTTTTGCATAGAAATATGTTGCTTTTTTATTGTAGGCCTGTAATTCTTAGCACTAACTCACTTGTTCTGTCCGAACAAGAGTCTAGTAAACATCCCGGGTATAATAAAACTTGAAACACGAAAGCATAAATTTATAATATAAATAATCATTAAAAATAATAATATATAATAATAATAATAATAATAAAAAAATGTAATTCAATAATGTAATCAAACCAAAAACACTGAAATTTGAAATAGAGCGCCAAGTTCACACATTGCTGAGTTCAGTCGCAAAATCGTTTTCAGTGTCTGATGATGAATTTCCCCACAAATCATTATCACTCAATTCTGCAAGTAGTTCTAATTTACTATCGCTGTTCTCTAGCTGGTCTAAAATCTCTTTTGACCTAAAGGGACGCTTTTTGGATGCCATGGATGTTTCTCAGTTTTCAGGCAGAAAGAACGGCAAAAAATGCAGGCGGGGCACAGGACAAAGCACTAGGGACAAAATGTATGCAAAATTATTTATTATTTACTGCAGGTACTTATATAGCGCCATCAATTTACGCAGCGCTTTACATATATATTGAACATTCACATCAGTCCCTAACCCTCAAGGGGCGTACAATCTAAGGATCAAATGGTTTGATACAGTAATGGAATACTATGAGATTTTAGTGTATTGAGTGAATGAGAAATTTTTACATTTTTTAATTTCCCGCCGGTTCCGTCCCCCGTACATCCCGACACTCGCAGGGAACGGAACCAGGAAGACAGATGTCGACATCGGCCGGAGGACATGGCCGGGAACGCTGCAGGGGGGACATCGCGGGAGCGCAGGACAAGTTAAGTGATAGAGGGATCCCAGAGCAATGCTGCACGGCAATCTTGAGTGCAGCTCGGTGTTACCGCTTTTGGTACTGAAAGTTAACCCTGAGCTACACTCGGGAATACCACCAGGGGGGTTAAAGTGTTACTAAACCCAGGACCCTGCCGTCACTGTTAAATGCCTTTTCTCAACAGCAGTTAGAGTAGTCTTGTGACTTCTGTCAGTGTCCAGCAGAGCACTGGTTTAAGCTTGTAGGAGGAGTTTTCATTCTCCTCCCACTGTCCTATGAGACTGCAGGGCCCTTGACACTCTGTTTGGACAGTGCTGATTTGTTCTGTACTGATCACATGCACTCTCCCAAGAACAAAAAATACCTTCTAGCAATACACACTAAACTGAGCATGTGCAGCTTGCCCCCAAGGCTCTGTTCTACCAGGAGATGAGTCGGGGACAGTGGAAGAAGGGGAGGATCAGAAAAGACAGGACTAAGCATCCTTTTTTACACAATGTAGAGGAGTAACCCTTAAGCTTCACAGTGAGTATAACAAGCATGCTTTATTGCCTGTACAGACTGATTTTACTGTTGTGGGTTAAGTAACACTTTAAAGTTTGATTTAAAAAGTAATAAAACACATAAAAATTGATTTTTATGGCAGATTTTCACTCTTGTTCAGCAAATGCACTGCCATGTCCTGTCTTACTATCTACAACAGACACAAAATAATTTATAGGTCATTTTACTAAATTCTTGCAATATATACAGTTTTTTATTAACCCGATTTCACTTAAAACAAGAACATCTAATAATTTTTGCTACCTCCTTTATGATAACTTTACGATAACTTACTAGGGTGATTCATTGTATAATTTTATTACATTATCTAGCAAACTGAGTATAAGATGATTGCACATTTTAAACAGTTTGTTTGCACTCCCAGAGTATGGACCACAACTCTTGCAGCTTCTGAACTTAAATGTAGTGTTTCTACTCAAGCAAGAAATAACTTGCTATTTTAGGCACCTAACATATGCTGGGACTACCTCTTTCCTGAGAATGTATAAAAATACTGCAAGAGTGGGATCTGGTGCAGATCAGGCTAAATTATATTTTAGTGCATCAAAAATTTAGCACATTAGTTTATTAAGCCATGGGAATGCATTCACTAATTCCAAAGCTGGTAAAAAGTAGCCCTGAACTGTCATTTCAAGACAGATGGAGTTGTTAAACTGAACAGACCTCCTGATCAGCCTGTTCTAGATAAAGTGCAGACACACATCTACTTGTACTAGTTCCAACAATGTCATCAATAGAAGGTATTAGGAGCCATACAAAGCAATGTGCAGGAGCTGACATGGGAGAGATCTGTATTGTTTACATACAGGTCTCTCCCTTATCCGTGATACTCGGTGATCGGCGGGTGCCGGCGGGGAATCATCGGCTGGGATCCGGCGATTGACAGTCGAGGCCGCCAATGGCAGCGAGGGTAGGGCGCACACGCCCCTTACCTGGAAATGCAAAATCACGTATACCGGTATATATATATATATATATATATATATATATGTGATTTTGCTCGCCCCTGCCGCCATTTAGCAGTATTTCTGTTATAGGGCGGCGGGAAAAACGGTTAATGAAGACTTTTTTTTATTTTATTCTATGCTGTTATATTGTTTTATCTATTCTATTTTTTTCTATTCTTTTATTTTCTATTCTATTTTGTTCTATTCTTTTATTTTCTATTCTATTCGAAATTCGAATTTCGGAAGATGGTTATACTCTTTTTCTTTTATTCTATTCCATTTTTTTCTATTCTATTTTTTTTTTCTATTCTATTCTTTTCTATTCTATTTGAATTTGAATTTATTCTATTCAAAAGTCAAATTTTGGAAGACAGTTATATTTCTTTCTATCTTATGCTATTATTTTATATTCTATTCTTTTATTTTCTATTCTATTTCCCTATTTTCTATTCTATTTTATTCTATTATTTTCTATTCTATTCCATTTAACTCTATTCTTTTCTATTTTAGTCTTTAATTTTATATTGTACTCTATTCTGGTCTATTTTTTTTTCCATTCTTTTCATTTCTTTTCTTTTATTTTCTATTCTTATCTACTCTATTCTATTATTATATGACTCTTTTCTATTTTATTCTAGTCTTGTTTTTGAATTCAGTTTGTTTTGATTTCGAACAAAATTTAATTTCCTTATTTCCGATTCGTTTAAATTTGTTACCATTATATTTTGGAAATTCACATACATAACGAAAAATGTGTCTGAATTTCAATTTGGAGAGAAGCAAACCGCACATGTCTATTCCCAGCTCACACCTTCAGAGATAGCAAGCTTCCACTTGATTCACCATAATTCAGCCAGAGGCTTGGTTCAACTCCATTTATTCCCAGCACAACAATAACATTTAGTAATAAAAATGCTCTCCATCTCAGTAGTCAATACCAGGTCCTCTTTAATTCAAAAGTGTACCTCTGCCATCACCCGGCATGAGAGGTGCCCATCCTTGAGTTTCAGTAAATTTGCTTCAGTCATAGTGCGTCTCTATGACCAGACCTTTCCATTCCCATCAGTCTACTCAATACTAGCTATGCTCCATTATACCTTAAAGCTGAACTTCACACAAAAGGGGAAGTTTCTGCCTTCCCCCCCTGGATTGCCTAGATGATCCGAGTGGAAATACCCCCCCCCCTCCTCACTCTAGCCTTTTGGAACACGTCACAGGTCGCAGAAGGCTGTGGGACCATTCACAAAGCGCAGCACAGTTTGCACATGTGCAGTAGAAAGCTGGCTGTGAAGTCGCAAGCAGCCACAGCCTGCCCCCCAAACAGGGGCGGACTGAAAACGCATGGGGCCCCCGGGCAATAGGAAATCATGGGTCCCCCAGTGTCCTTGCCCAAACTCAAAAAAATCCTATGAAAAAGGTACCAGTGGCATCTCATGGGGCCCCCTACTGACCCTGGGCCCTCAGGCAGTGCCTGAGTTTCCAAAAGGTCAGTCCGCCCCTGCCCCCAAATTAAATATGCTGGTGCCAGGGACCTAGGTGAGGATGACCCTAGATCCCTGGACAGGTAAGTGTCCTATTATTAAAACTTAGCAGCTATACCTCTGTGATCAAGACCTGGTGGAACATCAAAAAGGGTGTGGCCAGAGCGGCATCCACCTGCTCACCTGATTTGTAGCCGCTGACATTTATTTTTTTGCTTCTAGGGTGAAGAACCATTTTAAATAGGATCCTGCCAGGAAGGAAGTGAGCGCACCTTACTTCCTGGGAGGATTTTTAGGAAGAACTAATTAACCCCTGCTTACACACAGGCATTTTATTGGAAAGCCCAAGCATGCTTTGCACACTGAGCTTTATGGGCACACCCCATATATTATGTTTATTTTTAAAATAAACATTTCATATCAGCAGTTTAAAAAAAACCCTGCAGTTTATAAACCTGTAAATGGTCAAAATAATATAACAAAAACTATTATATATGCTATTTAGCTAAACCTTTTATTTCTGTTTGTGTCCTTTAGTGCAATTGTATGTATTCATGCTGTCTGTGTTTTCCACTAGATCACTCTTACCACTATTGGTTATGGCGATAAAACACCCCGTACCTGGCTGGGGAGAGTCCTGGCTGCTGGGTTTGCTCTTCTAGGCATCTCTTTCTTTGCGCTCCCTGCAGTAAGTATACAAAATGTGTTTCTTAAAATGTATAGAAAGGCATTTTTTTTTGTTTCGGATAAAGTGGAGAAGGGTTAGGGCTCGTTGACCAATGCAGCAGGCATTGCTGCTTTCTGAAAATCAATCCATGTTTGGATTGCTTTTCAGAGGTGTTTGACAGGTGGTGAAGAGGTAATATGTTACCTTCTCACTGTCCGATTTAACCCTATAATTTTTGTACTATCATGCTTTGCATGCTGCAGTCATGTGCATTGCACACAGTTGCAGCAATGATTCAGATGCAGCCCCACAGAACTGCATTAGTTGCGTTTGGCTTTGGCATGCTGTCATTTTTTTTTTTTTGCATCGCTGAGTCATGTGTACAGCCATGAATGGCTGTATGTTAGTGTTCAAGTTTGTG